GGACACACCCCAATTCCTCCATCTTACTTCTCTAAACCCCCCTGTACATAAATCCTAAACCCTGTGTCTCACCCTCTAATTAGCTAATCTTTTCGCCATTCACCCCGGTGAAGTCCTCTTATCTTCATACAGGTGTCGTCTCCCGTGTAGGGTCAAAGTCCTGCCACCAGACACTTCTGGCAACATTTCAGGACTCCCGGGCCCCCCAAGGGTGGTCTCAGTGGCCCGGCATCTCAGGACTCAGATCCTGAGATCCCACAGAGACCCAGGCTCTGGAGGTGCTCCCTGTGCAGCTGAAGAGCAGCTGGTGCCATGGCACAAACTGCAGCTCCAGCTGCTGCACGGGGCAGAAGGCTTTGTGTGGCACTGCCCAGCCTGTGAGCACACAGCACAATGGACACAGGAGAACTGATTTCCTATCAATCAACAAAATCAGCTTAATATACACTTGTGGGGCTATAAAGACAAATAAAACGTGAAACAATTTTCTGTCCTTTTATTGCTACCTAGCAAAGGGCAGAAATTACCTGAGGTGCTGTGCCTTCATCTCTGATCATTAGCAACAACTCTGTCAGTCCTCTTCTTGGAAAATAATGGAATAGTTTGAAAAAGAGCATAATGTGACAGAAAAATGGAATGAGGTAGTCTAAAAATAAACACGCCACGTAATTTTTAGAACTATGCAACCACTGCACATCTAGTCCATAAGGAAAATTTCAACTGTTAAGACAGCAATTAGACATCAAATATATTTAAGGAAAGTCTTATGATCTCTTTTTCTCTCAAGAAAAGACAGATTCAGAAATCAGGATTAAAAGAATGCTATTATGCATCACAAAATGATAATCTGACCAAGCAGTAATTTTCTGTTCCCTAAATATGGCAGAAACAAGCAGATGTCCTAGCTCACACTATTAGATGTTTGTTTCTGAGAACAAGAACATTGTCATCTCAAGAAGCACTAAACTGTATGGTTTTGAGGCACAAATTCATGTGAATAGCAAACATTTGCCCCTTGATCTAATGCAACAGTTCTTAATGCAAGATTTCTCCTTGGAAACCATATGCTGGGCTTAGGTTCAACATCCTGAAGGCCCTGGGATCTGAAACTATGAACATGAGAGAAAAAAACTGAGTGACTCAAATGTTTAAGTTCACTGTTAGGCTGGATCCAACAGGAGCCATAAATATTTGATATATATTTGCAGAGATGGAACAGAACCACTCCCAATTATTAGATCATGAGAATGAACTTATCTGAGGGAATTTGTCGTCAGCTGTTCCTAGTCAAAAAATGCTATGTATTTTATTCCCAATAGCTACATTTAAACATGTACGTGCAATAACAGAACAAATCATAAACACAAAAGGCCATTCAACATTTAGTTTCTACACATACTTTACTGAATGTAATTTATTATTGCAGCAATATGGAAGGCAGCTAGTGGAGGAACAACATCATCAAAAGGACTCAAGTGATGAATTGAAAGATTAGTTTCCTCCAAAACCATGGGGATTTTTTGCACAAGTCCTTAGAACCTCTACCTTTTACACTAGAGGAGTATGTTTGAACTCTCCATGGAAGACACAAATCAGGAGACAACCAGAGAGAGAAAATTAAAGCAGTTACAAATTATTGCAATGTTGTATAGCAGTTGTAAATTATTGTAATACAAAATAATCTAATGTCTAACCGTGTGCCCCATTTTTTCCTTTTTCCTTTCTTCTGAATGATATGCTTAACTGCACTCTTCATGACTAATCATTTATTGGACCTTGTATTAATTTAACGTATCAAGATGAATGTAAGCAAACAGCTCTTGTTAAAAACAAAAGCAAACCTTCAGTGTAGCCCATCACAGAGGAGCCTGCTTTTCATATTCCCTGACCTACTGCCACATCGCACAATGGGTAACACTTGGGGTAGATGAAGTGCCGTGACTTGAAGGATGAGAGATGATGGCCCATCCTGGAGTAGGAATGACTGAAACCTGCTGTCAGCTTCTCATTAAAAAGTCAGGAACTAGGATGATAAACCCTTCAAGGAGAGAAAATATGGCACCATAGAAATGACATTACACATAAAAAGCGAAATGAAGTAGTTCCAAAGTGTTTCCAAGAGCAATATCCCAAACAGGAATCACAATACTAATGAAGACGCCACATGTGAGGGAAGGGGACAAAGATTATGAGACTGGGACACCCTGGGATGAAGTAGTCAATCATATGTAACTCACACCCTCTGTTCCAGAAAGTTCCCTGTTCCCCACCTTTCCATTGGCTCTCTCCCTAAAGAACACCCTCTCCCCGTTTCCTTAGTGGTGTATCCCAGTCACCCCACTATACCTCTGTACCCCCTTCCTAGCGGTCGAAGTGCACCCCCGGTCCCGCCTACCCCTTACCCCTTATAAACCCCGTTCCCGCCCGGGCTCGGGGTTCCGCACCCCGACTCCGGTACCTTTCAGCTGCGGTGTACCCCGCTTTCCTTTCCCGCCTGCGCCCTCAGACTCCCCGACATTAAAAGCGTGTTGGAACAACACTGGAATCTCCGCGCCCTGCCTTGTACCTGGTCGTGCCGACATTTCGTCATCCGACACCGTGTGTGATGGCGGCGGGACGCGCCGAGGAGGGGTCCACCCGCACCCCCCCAGGTTCGGGGCTCCCGGCAGCAGCCAGGACCCCGAAAACCCGCAGACATACATGATTTCGTAGTTGGTGCAGGGTAGCCGTGTTGCCCAGTACATAGTGTATTGCCATGCTAGCAGCAGTATTGAGTTAGCAAGGCCTCAGGAGCCGTTTTCCAAGTTTACTTTGTCTAAGCTTTTCTTGAGCTGCCTGCAATTTCCTAGCTTAACTAGAATAGAAATTTTCGAAACGACCGTGTGGTTATGCTTAATTTGCTTTATCTTTGCTTATCTTTCTATGGTACAATAGTTTTATGCAGATACTCTCTGTAAAGGACATGGCATGAGAGCACCTTGGCAAGTGGAGCACAGGAGATGGTCTGGAGAAGTGCAGGCATGGGATGGACACAGGTGGGTCAGTTTCACACGGGAGCACCTGCGCTATCCACAAGTCACCAATGGTCAGCTCGAGAAATGCAGACTGAGAGCTGAGCAACGCCTCCTGCAGCGGTACAAAGAGAATGGAGAAAAAACTTGCGGTTTGTGTGAAATAGACCATGGATAGGAAGTGCAGCTGCACCATGAGCTACTCAGTAAAGAGCAAGCAGGGTGCATGACACGTTAGAAAACACAGAAATATTACTCAAAAGACTCCCAACATGAGACAGGAGAAATGAAAAAGATCATACTCTTCGTGGCTAAAAATCTGAGCTGCATGATCCCCTCATTTCTGAAAGCTTCATCATCCAAGGGGCCCAGGAGGGCTGTGCATAATACCAGAAGTAGCAGATACTAGGAAGCATGAATATAGCCGCTCTGTGGTACTATACTTTTTCTTTTAAAGTACTTATTTTTTTCCATGATGACTTCAGGGACTAACAAACACTCTTTACTTAGATAGTTAATTTTCCCATTTGGATTTAATTTAAATTCTTGGCATTACACATAACATGCATCTTCTTCTGCCCGTAAAACAATTTGAGCATAATGATATGTGGGTATGATTTTGCTTACAGAGGCCATTGTTTGACAGGATTTTGCATAGTTAATATGTGTTACTCAAAATAATAATAATTTCCTTCCATCACCCATCCAAATTTAAAACCAAAACTGCTCAATCATGTGATTTATTTTTCCTGGTATAATTTTTTAAAGTTCATTGATATCTAGTAGTAGTTTAAATGCTTACACTCTTTTTGTTCCTACTTGGTCAAAACTGAATAAATCTGTTGTTGTATAGTGTTTTTGTGTGACTTAAATAGTAATAAAGGAAGGAGAATATTTTCTAAACGTTGCTTCTTACGTGAGAGAAATCAATATGTTTCTAATTATCAGTCCAACATCTTAAAGCAATTTGAGAAATGCCTTACCAGTAAGTCTGCTGTCATATTGCAGTTCACACTGCTGGCTTTCATTTCCACTCCACTGAATTCCCACACTCTCAGTGTCACAAAAGTCACAGAAATGCACAAAGGATTGTGCTACTGTTGTGGAAGCAGCAGCTCGACGGCTCCAGCTAACTTCCTGTTCCACTGGTTTTGCTTCAGAAGGTGATCAATAGCATTTGAATTCAAGGGCCCTGGGAAAATCAGACAGATACTAAATTTTAGGACTTGTAATTCATTATTCAAGTCATTGTGTTTTTCTGAATCTGAAAATGAGTACTTTGCATGCTGCTTAGAGATTGAGCAGTGTGAGGTTCTGATCTAAGGCAAATTTTGGTG